AGAGAGGGACTGGCCCAAGGTCACCCAGCTGGCTTTGTGCCTAAGACAGGACTAGAACTCAGGGTCTTCCGGGTTCTAGCCTGGTGCCTTAACCACTACACCAAACTGGCTCTCATGCTCTTGTCTAATAAGTCTAATTAACTTTTGTACATTTTGCTATAGTAAACAAGTGCCTATTTTTTTAAAAAAGTATCTAATTCTAGCTGCTTCTAATTTAGTCTTTTAAGTACTTGCCCATTATTTTAAATGGTAATTTCATATTGTTTTAAGAAAAAGTTACTTGCTGAACTGGTTAAGAGAATGATGACCTTGACCACAGCAAGTGCCAATTATGAGCAAAGTAATAAAAAGATGCAAAATATTTTATTCATACCTTTGAAGTAAAAAGCCAAAGTTGACTGCTGACAAAATATTGAGTCAGAAGCAACTGAAGAGTCAGAAGTAACTGAACAACAAAATAAATAAATATGATATTTTGTTGGAAACTTCACAAAAACCAAATAAGCTCAGAAGTGATTTGTTTCTATCAACACACATGTGCATTTTATAGAATTTGCTATAGGCAGAATAGCAAACATGTATCATTTTATCTCTTTCCCAGTTTAAGAAAGCAATCATTAAATTTATCTATATGTTATATTCATCAATAAGTTTCAATCTGTTCCTTTGGAGACTAGCTAAATTGAATGTTAGGAAGAATCGGCACACTGATGAAAGCATTTGACATCCAAACTTGATGACAGTTCCAAAGTCAGTAAATCATATTTGTTCCCAGGAGTGTTTCCATTAAAATTCAAAGCCAGACAAGGACAAAAACCTGTACAATTTTGTGGCCCAGAAGGTTCCTCTCCCTGTATCCCTGTTTCCTCCTGAAAAGATTTAGTACTGCAGTGCTCACATAGCAGCAACAGCTTAAATGCAACAAACACATTATCATGAAAAATATACAAGAAGACACTAATCATATTCAGGCTTTAATAGGTATAAATGCACTTGATCACTTTATTCACTTTTATACTAATTGAATTATCATGAATTCCCCAAAGTATCCAGTTACTTTATTATATGCATTCTTATAATCACCTTTAGTCATATTCTGAGGCATCCTGAGTGTTTATCAGTACACTGCATCTACCTAAAGGTTGGTGAGCCACTGTATATTATCTTGCCAGACAGTCTCTGGGGTTGGAGTCAGAGTTAACACAACAGGCAGAACTTTTGCCCAGCCTTACCTACTGAACTCCTGGAGTGGAAAAACTCTGCAAAATTTTGAATGAATGCAATTGGAGGAGAGCGGAAAGAATGTTTGGGCAAAAAGCTGACAAGAGAGTATAGAAGAAACGATTGAGCTACATGGAGACCTAAGAATGAATGAAAATAGTACTAATGAGTATCTGCTTAGATAAAATATCTTTGTTATGAATACATGGTTTAAGTATAAGTCTTCATAAGTAGATATGGCAAAGGAATGAATATAAAACTAAAAGTGTGATTGATTGATTGATTGATTGATTGATTGATTGATTGATTGATTGATTGATTGAAGATGAAGGACTGTGAGACAGTGAAGGATGGGAAATTCTGAATGGAGGACAGACCATTTTTTGGTAGTGCCAAGAATGCAGTTTGGCAAGAATGGACACGGGGGGGAAAAAGAAGTTAAGGGAACTAAAGTAAAAATAGAACCACCACAGAAAAGATTATGAGAAAATATTAGAAGATTAATCTCCCAACCCCAAAAAAGAAAGTAGATGTGAAGAAAGATGGTATGGAACCTGCTTGGCGGAGAATGAAAATGATGATGTTACAAAGTACACACAGAAATGTGTGGTGTTATGCTAACAAGGAAGTAGGGAAAAGGATGCTTGGTGGAATGTGGAAGAGGTTTTATATGAGGAAAAATACAAATATACTGTATAGAATATATATAGAGAAAAAAATTGCAAAGAATACAGTCAAAGAAGGATCAGTTAAAATTAAGAGGCAGAGGAAATGCAAAGTGGTTTTGATGGAAATAAAAATGGTTTGGAAAGTAGATGAATATGGTTAAGTGAATTGAATTAAAAACAAAATTGTTGCAAGGAATGAATGTTTGTCAAAAGAAGCAAAAATGGCTGTGTATAAAGTTATGCCTCTGCCCACTGTGTTATACTGAAGTGAAAAGAGAAACTTCAAAGTGAGTTAAATAACGTGGGAAGGGAGTACTTAAATGTGTGGTAAACAAGAAATAAGCTGAAGAATGAATGGATGTTCAATGAAAGTGAGCAGAATACAAAAGTGAGTTACCAATATGAAATAATGTTGAGGTAGTCTGGTCATACAGAGAGGATCAAATAAAAGACAAATACATGAAGGGAGACTAAATAGATTGAGAAGAAAAGTGATGACTGAGAAAGCTGAGAAAGAGGTTGATGACATACTCAAACAGAAAAAAATAAACATATGAAGATGAAAGGTAATGCATGAAGTGGTATTTGAATGTGGTGGAAGTAGGAATGGTTTGCAAAGAGAGAAAGGTCTGAAGTGATACAGTGAATGGTTTTGCTATATACTGATGGTATAAACTAGAATTTTTTATAACTATTATAACTAGAATTAGTTATATTTCCTTTTTTTTTTTAACTATACACCTTTGGAAAAAATTTATTTTGGCTTACTATTTCTTATTTCCTTTCTGCACCACACTGCTCACCCTGAAAGGGAAAGGTATGATGGGTATACAGTGGTACCTCGGGTCACGAACGCTTCTGTTCACGAACAATTCGGTTCACGAACAGCACCGTTCGCAAA